TGAGCCTGTTTCCCAGCCTTGTTCCCAGCTCGAGGGGGTTGCACTGCCACTGCTTTGCTCTTTTATTTTTTCTTTTTCCTAACAGAACTGTCTGGAGGTGAGAGATGTTTCCAGTGAGTGAATTGTTTCAGGAACATTTTCCTGATGAGAGCAGGGCGGAGAATCCAGTGTGCAGCACTGATGTCTGTGTGTGTGTGAGAGCAGCAATGCTTTTGCCAGCACGTGCTAAATCTTCTCCTGGGAGTCTGAGGGGAGGTTTTTAATCCTGTTTATTTATCAGTGAGATCCCTGTAACCCCTGGGGATGATGTTCCCTGTCTAAGCACAGTGTGCACCTCCATTCCCCCCTTCCAAAGGCTAATTCATGAATGAATGGGCGCTGGGATGTGTTTCCATTCAGGCTCTTTGAGGCTGTTCCCTCCTGCCGTGCTGCTCCCAGGAAAAGGGGGATTGTGAGGCCTTTTAAGTGTAACTGAGAGCTGAGAGCTCTGAAGCTTTGAGATTGATGCCTGCCTTGGCCGGGGGCTTTGAAGTGTGAAGTGTCTGAGCTCGCTTCGTTCCTGTTTTATTTAGAACACGGCTGCAAGTTCCATTCCAGGGAAAATGTCTATTTCAGCTCTTATTATGTCCATAAATCTTATGCAGAAAATTCACTGTTGCTTTTTGCAAACGCCTGTTCCCCTAATCAGCATTTCCTGGGTTGGTAAATCTTACAGAGCTTGGCTGATCTCGATTCTTCAGGTTTGATTTGTAGATGTCTTAGTTCCAGTCTGCATTTCTCTCTGCTGGAAAATGGAGTTTGGAGAGTGAGGATGGGAGGAATGGCTGACCCACAGTTACAGGCAGTGTTTGCACAGACTGGGCAGCCAAAGCTCTGCTGTGGGGGAAAGTGTGACACAGCTTGTTAGAAATTATTCCCAAAGCGATGCACGAGAAAAAAATTATTTGCAGAATTTTTAAATTCAGGTTTTCTGACAAAGCAATTGGTTGCAGGTGGTTTTTCATGCAGAATGTGAACAAAACAAAGCTTTCCTTCAAAAAAAAAAATTCCCAAACCAAACAAAACGTACACAAACAAAAATTAAAATTGGATACTGAAGGTGTGAAAAATGGGACAAATCTGCAGGAGGCCAATGCTGTGTTTGTTTCCTTGCATCAGTTCAGTGCTGATGGATTGAGCTCCTCCCAATATTATTCTGCAGCATGTCACAAAATCATGCCTTTTCTTTAGTAATTTTCCTTGTATTTTAAGGTTCATGATTCAAGAAATCCTCTGTAGGAAAGCCTGAAAGTTGTTTCTGGAAGTTTTACTCAAAACCAGAACACCATAGTACTGAGAAGCTTTCCATGTTGCCATGAATTAATGCCACACCAAATGCAGATTGCCATAAATAGTACCTGGATTTTCTCTATAAACCCTGGTTTAAAACTCTAGGTAATGCAGAGTATGGGTGTTTATTTTCTTTTTAAAAGATGTTCAGATCAGATGTATCTTAGGCTTTGAGAACTGGGCTTGTTTTTAGTATGGTTTGTGTGTGAGTGCTGGGTCTTGGAATACCAGAGTTGGAACCCATGGTTTTTGCAACATGGCTTACTTAATTGCAGCAGAACTGGAATAAATATGTGCAAGGATTTCTTTAGACTCTTCCATCTATATTCAGTTTTATCACAATTTAACTGATAATTTTTTTCTAAAAGAAGTTGAATTTTGCCCTTCTCTAGCACCTTGCTGGCAAACTGTCTTGGTTTGGAAAGCCAGGAGTCTGCTAAGG